CAACATATATGGCTTGGCCATGGCCTCTTTCAATTGCTGTAGAAGCTATAACATTGCTAAGGAGAACATAATGGTTTAGCAAATGAACCGATGTAATGAGACTGTTGGGGAGTTTTTGAATTTCTTTCTTGTAGTTGCATCTGCCCCAATCCATTTTTCTAAGAGCTTTCCTTTATAGTTTATCTTGGACCCCCACACTCTGTTTCTCTGATACCTAGAGGCACCAGGCAATTAAAATATAGTAGGTGGCTGATTAACAGGAATAAATTTAAGAGGAAGAAGGTTAAAGCCAATTTAAAAAAAAACCCATCAAAACTCACAAATGGAATGGACCCTGGTAGAACCCAATCAGCGGATGGCCTAACCTTCTCTACAGATTCCCACAAGCGGAAGGAAATATCTTATAATAGAGACGGAGAACCTGTGATTATCGGAGTATTGCTAGACTTACGTTTTCAGATAGAATGGAAATGGAGAAGGGTGCTGGGAATTGTAGTTTAGCAACATCTGGAGTTACTACAGATCCCCAAGATCAGTCATTGGGGGTGGGAGAAGAGAGGAAGAGACCCTTGTGGCTGTGATATAATAATAATAAAGTTGGAAGGGACCTTGGAGGTCATCTAGTCCAACCCCCTGCTCAGGCAGGAAACCCTATACCATTCCGGACAAATGGCTGTCCAGTCTCTTCTTAAAAACTTCCAGTGTTGGAGCATTCACCACTTCTGGAGGCAGGTTGTTCCACTGGTTAATTGTTCTGACTGTCAGGAAGTTTCTCCTTAGTTCTAGTCTGCTTCTCTTTTTGGTTAGTTTCCATCCATAGCTTCTTGTCCTGCCTTCAGGCGCCTTGGAGAATAGCTTGACTCCCTCTTCTTTGTGGCAACCCCTGAGATATTGGAACACTGCTATCATGTCCCCCCTCGTCCTTCTCTTCGTTAAACTAGACATACCCAATTCCAGCAACCGTTCCTTATATGTTTTAGCCTCCAGTCCCCTGATCATCTTTGTTGCTTTTCTCTGTACTCTTTCTAGAGTCTCAACAACTTTTTTACATCGTGGTGACCAAAACTGGATGCAGTATTCCGAGTGTGGCCTTACCAAGGCATTGTAAAGTGGTATTAATACTTCACGTGATCTTGATTCTAGATTATCATTTCTTAATTTGCTTTTCTCTCCTTTGCTACGTTTTTGCAGTTGGGAATACAAGTCTCCTAGCCACCTGTTGTTTGACACCCTTCACCCCCAACCATTTAAGAGGCACGTTCAAAGAAAATCTTGCAACAGGGGCCCATTCTGAGGGGAGGGGCTCCCAAAAGGCAAATATCACCACTCACAAGTATCCCCAGAAAAATATATGCTGAAAAATGTTGCGTTGCAGAGGCCATTTTTCGTCTAAGTCAGGGTTTTTCAAGCTTGACAACTTTAAGATGTGTGGACTTCAATTCCCAGAATTCCCCAGGCAGCTAGGCTGGCTGGGGAGTTCTGGGAATTGAAGTCCACACATCTTAAAGTTCTAATATCTTACATTGAAGAAGTAATACAGATGTTGAGCAACCGGGTGGTTTTTCAAGGACCTGTTTCTAAGACAATAAAAGTATTATGGGTCGGAATGATAATTGAAGAGCAGTTTTGATTTCCCAGGAATGTAAGAACTGACTGAAGTTGTTCATTTGTAAAGAACACATTGGGATACACTCTGGAGTAACCTTTTTATTAGTGTAAATGCTCACTGCTGTTGTAGGTGATTATCAGTGCAAATGTTATTATGACTGGTAACCAAAACAATTTATCCCTTTTGTTTGTGAATATTGCTGTGCTTTTTTTGTTGTTGTTTTGTTCCTTTGTCTCTTTTCTATGCTGACATTTTTCTATCAGATGTCAATCTCGTAAACTGTAACACTTTTTTACCTGGAGGGGAAAAAAACCTAAGCAAATAATAACAACCCTTGTGCAGATTCTATATGACTCTTTAGTACATAGGTCGAGATGTTTAGGAAGTGTTCTGATCTGCAAACCGTGCACCACGATCCTCAGCACGTCAAATGTAATAGGGAGGAAGTTCTTAAGACACCTGAAAAGCCAAAATTAATTCATGTTTTCCAAAAGTTTACAGAAAAGTAAAGGGGCGCTCAACTTTCTACGAACTGAAGAAAACATAATGGCAACCGTCAGGAACTGCTAAGAATTAAGTTTGAGAACAAAACAGCAAATCATGTTGATTTGGATGATATGTTTTCCAGCCACTGGAATTGCAGAAGGAAAACCACAGGTTACCATCTCGCCTTTGTGTGGTCCATTTTCCATAACAACAGGGTGTTGGTTAATCTTGTAGGAAAGATCTTCTACAGTGCATCCTTGATGGGGACGGTCCTTTAGCACAGAAATGCGAGACTTATTTTTGTCACTACTTGTGTTTCACATGTATGATGGGTATGTTTCCTAAGTTCTTTCTATTTTAAAAAAATCCATTTAAACTTCTGAAGTACTAATATATATGTATATATATATATATATAAATATGGAGTCTTACTCTATTGTATATAGCATTGGAAGTCAACTCATTGTCAACCTTTAAACTCTACTTCAAAATACTATTCAATTCCATATTCTTTCTTTCTTTCTTTCTTTCTTTCTTTCGTTCTTTTTCTTTCTTTTTTCCTCTTCCTTTCTTTCTTTCTTTCTGTCTGTCTGTCTGTCTGTCTTTCTTTCTTTCTCTTTCTTTCTTTCTTTTTCTTTCCTCTTCCTTCCTTCCTTCCTTCCTTCCTTCCTTTCTTTCTTTCTTTCTTTCTTTCCTCTTCCTTTCTTTCTGTCTGTCTGTCTTTCTGTCTTTCTCTTTCTTTCTTTCTGTCTGTCTGTCTTTCTTTTCTTTCTTTCTTTCTCTTTCTTTCTTTCTTTCTTTCTTTCTTTCTTTCTTTCTTTCTTTCTTTCTTTCTTTCTTTCTTTCTTTCTTTCTTTCTTTCTTTCTCTCTAATAAAGAACAAATAACTCTGTACATTAAAAGACAGGAAACTTAGAAGCTGGCTAAAAAAGTAAGCTTCCCCCTTGTCAATAATTTTGTAAATGTAAACAAAGAGAGGTTCAAGTATAAAAAGCGAGTTTCTTTGTGACTTGGCAAAAAGAGTTTGGCACCTGATGACGTGGGTTTTAAAGGTTTTTTTGTTTTTGTTTTTAAGGAATCCTGGCTCATTGCAAAGCTGGCCTAAAGCAGTCTAGATCTTTGCTACCATATATCGCTGGTGAAACTGAGCTCCCTCGTTGACAAGGGGAGTAAAGAAGGGTTTCTATGGAAATCGTGGACATCCTTCACGCTGCTGTTCAGTGGCAACTGCCCGTTGAGAAGCGTCAGCGGCAGATTACAGTAAGTGTGGTGGTTGCCGCTTATGGCAGTGAGTGGCAAGGTGGCGGACTGCATGTTGTATTCGTAACCTCTACAGTAATGTCTCATCTGTGCTGCATCGGTGAGCTGGTAGTCTCCCAAATCTGCCTGAGATGAAACTAAAGTGGCAGAAGTATCCGTCACCGCGACGGAAGGCACTGTTTGCAGATCCCCAAAGAGACCCTGTTCGGCAGAATCCAGGACTTGGCGCCGTGAGAGAACTTCTCTCTTCTTTACCGGCATCTCGTAGAGCAAATGTTTCCAGAATTTAGAATTCGGTTTGTTACACTGGGGTCCTTTCCACGGGACGACCGAGAAGAGTTTGATGCTGTGCTTTAAAGATTCCACCTCTTGGTAGTTGACTTTCCCTTTCAGCTGGGGGCACTCGATGAAGATGACTTTGATTTCTCCGCTCAGGAGCATGTTATGGAGTCTGTTTTCCATTTCAAAAATACTCCACCCTCGTCGGAGGACATAATCCGGCGTCAGGACAATCAGGAGCCGGCGACTTTGTTCTATACAGCGGGCGAGATCGTCTAGATAGGCTGCAAATCATAAGAGGGAGAGTAAAACAGAGAAGTACACACAGGAGAAAAAAGAAAGAAAGGTAAAACTTTGCAATCAAAATGGGGGCAGAGAAGGGAATGGATTAAACCTTCTTAAACTGTGCCGCCAACAGTTTGAATGGTCAAGATAACTCCAGCTCCCTTGTTTACACTGTGCTTGATCGCTCCTTTGAGCTCTAATGGCTGATTCTAATTTCGGGAGCCATCAAGCCTATAAGTGGAGAACTTGGGAATAGATTTTTCTTGACAGGAGCTCCTAAGAGTTGGAGGAACGCTGGGTCTAATCGTGGCCTCTGCATCATCACAAAGTCATCTGCATGGACAGCAGATTGGACCATCTTGACCTGGTTAGGACTCCAGATGTTTCCACATCAGCTATGAACAGCTCTACCATCCCTTGATAATGTTCCCCTTTCCAAATGGGTCCCCTGCAAAAATTAACTTATTCTCTCCCCCCGCCCTCTCTAGAAGACGTTGACTTAACCTCACATGCCATTCACAGTCATTTGGCTCAGCGTGTTGTGTGAACCGTGTTACGGTCAGATTGGAAACTGCTGGAATTTGCAGTCCAACGTATCTGGAGGTCCACCAACTTGGGGAAAGCCTAGTTTAGGGGTTTACATATTGCCAAATGAGTGTTTCTCCCCACATACATTATGCAAATGGCAGACCTGTCTGGGTTTCTGCTATTTTATTGACTGCAGAGTTTTGGTTGAATGGTCTTGTGATTCCCAGGAACACACATCACTGTAGACACACATCAACATGATTTGGAGGCACAGATTTTGCTCGACAGCTGAGCGCTGTGGAACGCCAGATGGGACAACCTAGCCAAAGTCCTACTCTACTTACTTCTTTCAACTCTCCTTCCATTGGAAGATAGGGGCACCAGTTGGAAGAAGAGCCTGCAGAAGAAAGAGCATATTGTAGGGGTTGTTCCAGATGGAACTCATCCCATGTACATTTTGGTTGTGTGGGTTGGCCAAAAAAAAAGAAAAAAAAAAGAAAATCATGGACCAGAACTTGCAACTTCGATAAACGCACAGACACATAGACACACACAGACACACAGAGAAGACACACAGTTCTGTGGTGGAGGTTACAGATGGAGAAGACTCCTAACTGGAGTGCAGACATTTTGTTCCCTAGAGTCACATCACCTGGTTCCAAACCGGCCGAGAAACCTGCCATCCAGAATATCTCAAAAAATAATCAATTCTACAGCCTACCCGTGTGAAATTTTTGCCTTATGTCTGTGAGCCCAAAACATCACCCTGCCAATAAACCATGCAAAATACTAGCCTAATACTCTCATCCTAGGTCTAGGCAGTTCCTAAGTTCTTCACTCTTCTCCTCTGGTGACAACAATCTCCTGGGGCCACTAAGAACAGCCTAGTAAGCATAGCAAAATATCTTGTTTAATTGCTCCAGGTTACAGCCGATCAAAGATGCCTTTAACGTGGAACAATGGAGTGAGCATCTCAGAAGCATTCCAGGTCGGTTGTCCATGCCAGGTCCTTGGGCTTCTGAGGGTTGCAAAGCCCAAGCCGACTTTGAACGAAACCAGTTCCCATTTATATTCTGCGCCATCATTGTTAGCGGGTGATTAAGCATTCCTTAATCTTCTGCATGAAAGCATCAAATCTGTTCAAAAGATCTGAATCATTTCAGTTTTGCAAGGCAGGAAAGAAAGAAAGGAAGGAAGAATGGAGACAGCATTATGCTGTGCTGCTATATTATATATATATATATAAAAGCCAACGTGCCAGGTAGCACTGCACATTATTTTGATGATGCTTAATGACTCTCTGAAATTACGATGATGAAGGTTTTTGCTGGCACGTCTGAGTGGCAGATGGGCAGAGAAAGAAAACGCAATCCTGACTTTGGAAGCACCTGTGAGGAAGCTGATTCATCTAAAGCCATTTGTTCTCTCCCCTCTTCCTGCATGGACTTTAAAAGACTTTGATTCTGCTCTCTTCTTTTGAAACCAAGCTCGGAGCAACAGCAGCTGGGCACGAAATTAAACCACCCTCCCCACACAGCTCCTAACAGCTGTATGTGGTGTGTAGTTGTACCTGATTATTTGCTTTCATTTTGATTTGTTGATGACTACATGTGGAACTACAGCGCAATCTTCCCAGTGAAAATATTAACAGACGGATCTGGCCCTGTGTGTTTGCAATCAAGCAGTGTTGTGTTTGACACGTCGGGAAAATCCAGAATGTGACTTGTTGGGTTTGGCTTAGTCTTTTGCCCTACTAGGGGTTTGTAAATGTGCTCTAGGGGTTGGTTCAATGTGTGAATCTAGCCCATTAATAAATCAGGCTTAAGCAAGCCATGAACCTAGTGATGCTATGGTTGGAGTCATGTGCTTGCATCCTTAAGATGCTAAGACGAAACTTCATTTATTTTTTGGAATAACCAAAAGGCCATGCTTTACAACAGAGATATTTTACTATCCACATTCTCAACATTTCTTTATATCAATTTGTTGGAACATCTGAGTATTTGCAGGCAGGCAGACGAGTCCTAGTATAGATGAACCAACAATATGATTTTTGAAGAAATAAAAAAAGGCAAAAAATATAGCCAAAATTGTATCCTATGTGTATTTTTCAAGACTTAATAGAAAGTGACTTTCTTATGTCTGCTTATTTGGAGCCTTGAGGAGGAGACTTCTGCCCATTTGGGCTACTCAAGGCCTCCTATTTTGTCCATGACAACAATCCCATGAAGTGGGTTGGCCTGAGCGACAGGGTATTTATTGCAATGTTGGAATGACCTTGGGAATTGAAGAGAAAAGATGCTGCCCAGGAAACAATCAGAGAAGAGAGGCAGGAGCCCCCAGTGGCTAAATGGTGAGAGGAACAAACTGTCGGGTGCAAATAACCAGGAGCACATACTAAGTTCAAAACAGAAAAGGGTTTATCATTGCTCCGATACGCAAGAATCTGGTCAACTAATGGTCAAAGCTAAATAGGCGCTAGATAAGGCTTAACACAGGGGTCCCCAACCCCCAGTCTGTGGACCAGTACTGGGCCAGGGCATGCCAGTAACCGGTCCGCACAAACAAACAAAGCCCCATCTGCACGATGCAGGCAGCACACAAAACCAAGCCCCCTCAGTCTGCAGAAAAACCTCTCTCCATGTAACCGGTCTCTGATGTCCAAAAGGCTGGGGACCTCTGGGTTAATAGAATTCAAGGGGCAGGGCATCTGGACTTGGGTCTCTTGTGACTGCACAATGACTCCAAACTGATGACACATTTAACCCCGCCTTCCAGCTCAACTTGCTCATCTCCTGCAGAAACGTAGGAAGGACCCACCCTAACTGATCAGGGATTTGTTCTTTAAAACTTGCAAGATTCTGTTAACGTAGACTTACAGTAAAGTAGATCTAGCTCATCTGGTTGTCCTTCCTGTCTGGTTCACCTGGGAGAGTTGGCAGTGATCTTAACCATCCTTAAAGTACAAACTTCCCATCACCACTTTTAATCATCTGATCAATTAGGGCTGGTCCTTCCTAAGTTTCTTCCTGTGACCGTTTAGCCATTGAGGGTTCCTGCCTCTCTTCTCTGATGGTTTCCTAAGCAGCATCTCTTCTCTCCTTTTCCCCAAGGTCATTCCTACATTCCATTGCTGACGGTGACTGGCCCGACAGCCAAAGGAGACTCAAATTACGATCGACATCCTATGGTTACAGAGTTCCACCTGAACCCCAAACAAACAGAGTTCAGGATGCTGTGTGAATCCAATCCCTGTCTTTTCCTGAATGCCCTTCTTTACAAAATGGCTCTTCTGGGTCTCTGAGTTTAAACGGACTGTGTTTAGTGTTCTCAGTTCCTTATTGGTTTTGTGAAGTACCTTGTTATAAATAGGGGATGGGTGGGAGGGAAGGATGGGAGACACTTAAGAAGGATGCACTTTCTTAGCAGCATCAGGAAGTTGTTTCAAACTTCAAGTGGATCAGTACTTACTCCCAGTAGGGATCAGGTCCCGGTCTGGAATAAAGAGCTTATATCCATATTGCTTCTCCAGAACATCTGGCAAGATTTCAAGGACAAATTGTTCTTCTTCCCGGTTGTCACGATCTAATGTCTCAGGATCGACTTTCGTATACGATAGATAGGCGTCATATTCTTTGTTGTCTGCAAATAAAACCACAGATCTTGGGAAGAGAAGAGAGGATCTCCCCACGATTAAAGCAATTTATGCACGTGTGCTTTCCCGAATGGCTTCATGGCCGAACAACTGTAATTGATAATTCTGGGTAGAAGCCGTGTTTCCTAAACACTGATTTATAGAATATCTGGGAGGCAAAACCAGGGATACACCTGCATAGTCTAGGTATATAATTCAGTCACTTTGCTAAAAAAAAAAGGGGGGGGGGTTTGGTACACTAGTAATTGGCGGGCAAATCACTTAAGAATCCCAATGTGTATTATTCTTGAACTGCACCATTAAAAAAAGGGTGGATATAAATAAAATTTAGGAATGATGAAATAGAATTCTATCTGCAAAATGTTCACTAGAGCATTAAAATCCCCCCTCCCTTTTTTTCTTTTGCTTGGGTGGCTCAAGATGTCAGGCCCAAGCCCAAAGAACCACACAGCGAGATCCACTCAAGTCCAGTTCTTTATTTGCTTATGCCGAATGGACAGAATCTTGCCAGACTAAAGCTATAAACCTCTAACCTAATATACCCCTTCCAGACATTTCATTATCCAACTAGGTAACACCAGCAGTGTAGAATGGAGTATGGGATTTGCTCCCTGTTAATATACAGTAGCTGGCTATACCAATATTACTGGTGGTGTGATTTTCTTCTTAGTAGTTACACGATTAGGCTATTGTTCTCAGCTTGATAGTTTGTCTTGTGTTAATCCTTGCTTCCCTGGATATTGGCTGCTGGAGGTGATATGTCTTGAACTTAAACAGGGAGCAAAACCCAACACTCAGTAGCACTGATGTTACCTAGATGGGCAACAAAACATCTGCAAGAAAACCACCAAGCTCAGACAGCACCAAAGACTTCAGAAAGATTAAAGAGCCAATTGGTATCTGGCTTGTTCTTTCACGTTCTTTGAATTATGGCAATTCCCTTAATTTGCGTGAGGGACATCTGGCTGTGAATGATGAGATTGGGGAAAGGTGCAACATTTCTTTTCTCCTTGGCAGAACTGGGGCTCGCAGTTTCTCTTATTTCAGATTATGCTTTCAGCGGCTGATCCATATCATGGACATTTGATTATAGATGTATTTGTATTAGCTATTTAGAAATCTGCTCACCATCCACGGTTTCATCGCCTCCAAACATTTGCTTGTAGCAGAGCATCAGCTCTATATTGTAGCACTTATAGATGGTTACAAGTATAACCAATAAGAGAAATATAGCTCCCAAACCTCCAGCAAGTTCAATTCTGGAGATCAGATCTAGAATAAGACAAGAAATAAGTTAGAAAATGGACCTAGCTGATCTTTTCTGGACTCAGAAGTTAAGATTAGGCATGGTTGAGATTTGGGTCAGAGTACCAGGGAATTCCAAGCTTGGGAAACTGAAAAGAAAACCTCAGAAGAAGACAGTGGCCAACTGTTCCAACACGAAGTCCATGAATATATCCACAAAGTTACCAAGAGTCAAACTTGACTCAAAAGAAGGTCTACGGAGATTCTCAATCATCCAAGTCATGGTTGTCCCAAAGGTGCTTTTTTTCCATGGAGCAACTGGACTTCCTTGGTTTTTCCCTTTCAAAATATTTCCCATCTTATCCAAGAAGCTTCTTCAGGTCTTCTGGAGTCTCTCTCGACCCCCCTCCCAAATTATTTTCACGCTCTTTTGAGTCCCTTTGAAAAATTGCCAATAGTAGAGTGGAACCAATGGGAATGGTGTCATGAAATGTTTTTCAAAACTCCCCAGGGGAGCAGAAAAGGGGATTATGAAAATGTTCTCAACCCCATTCCCCCAATTTAGCCGACTTCTTGCTTCCAGCACCCAACTGCCAATATGATTCATGATAACCGTAACTGATGCCAATGGGACACACTCATTAACATATTGTTTGAGACCCAGCATCATAACCAGGGCGTTTTTAACCTTGCTTCCCAATTCATCCCCTGTCCCCATTAAAGAAATCACAAGAAAACTATGAGACATCGAAAAGATACATTAATTTATACTCCATCCCAGCACAGATATTTATTGCCATGATAAATAAGCAATGTGAAAGGCATAAAACTCAGGCGCCATCAAGAATAAAAAGGGAAATATAACACTTCTCAAACTTGGATGGCATGATGGGTTTATATATCATCAACATCACGTTGAACTTTACACAGGCAGGCAGCTGTTGAGGTTCACGGTCAACTTTCCTTCTTGAAAGCTTTTGGGGTCCTGCAATTTATGGCTGGAATTCCCTGGCTTCTTTCCTTCCAAATGTCGTGGAATAAGGTGCACCTTCAGGTCAACAAAGGGGGTGTTTAGAAGAAAGAGATTCAGCTAGAAAGAGATTCAACCTGGTGCCTATTTTTCTGATCTAAAACTTCTTGGAATCCCTGGATGATGTCAGACAAGCCACGGTTAAGATATGGAATGTGCTTCCAGCAGGTATGACTTTAACCTCCTGCACTTTGGAGGTGTATCAGCCATCTTTGCTGACAAATTGACCACTGATTCAGAATGTGTGTCTCTTTGTCCAGCCCAGTTGTTCTCTCTAATCACAGCCTAGGAAAACTGGCTGTGCTTCTACAGCAGGAGTAGGCAACCAAGATTTGTAAGCCACCAATACTTCCAATATTTTACAGTACACAACAGACATTGTGTTGAGCCCCCAATGTTTAGGATTTGTGAGGTGGTGCCTCCTCCCCCACCCACTTGTCTTCATGAAACAAACCCCCAATTCTCCACCAAAAGTGTTGAAGGATCCCTCAGGTCATCGGTCTTTTCAAGCTGCAAGATCTGGTTGGTCAGGAGCAGAAAATTCTTGAACCGAATGTCAATTCTTCTTCTTCTAAGAGGTTCTGTTGATTAATCTTTTGTTGCTTTTCACCACACTGCCTTTCTCTCCCCTCTTTTCTGCATTAGAGGCGAAGCATCCTTAAGAGGCTTGCTATACATCTAAGTCTGGAACTGTGCAGGGGACCAAAGAGAATCAGCTCGGCGAAGAGTTGACGAAGGAAAGAGTTAAATATCCCTTTGCACCCTGCCACAGTTTCTCCGGTGTAAATTTTCCCTTCATAAATTACTTTTCATGCAACTCCTGGGCTCAATCCAGGACATGTGTTTGCATGCTAAGGTGTCGTTAATTCCAAGCACTCCTTCTTACTTTCCTGTCTACCAACAGTTAAACCAATTTCCTCGTATGGATTGAACAAAACCTAAAAACCTAAAAACGAGACTGTGATTTGGCACTCAGCGTGTTCCCCGAGAAAGAAAGCATGTTCAGACAGCATGGAAGTGGCAGAAAAATCATTTTTATAAATTGACCAGGCTGGTTGAAGGAGGGGAAAAAAAAACAACAGTAACAAAAGCCTGTAAAAGATACTAAGAAAAAAAAATCTATGGTGGGAAGTAACATATCCAACCCTTGAGTTTAATAGAAAGGATTAATTTGGAAACATTGGGAAACACCCGCCCTTATTTCTCTTGCTGATCTGCTTTGCATATTGCACTCAGCCATGGTCTAACAGTAGCTTGGAAAAGACTCTCTAATTTATTTTATTTATTGATACATTTATAAAGCCGCCCATCTTATAACTGACCTCCAGCTTCCAATACTTGATTGAGGGCAAACAGCAAGCAAAGTCAACCCATCCATTATGCCAAAACAAACTACTTTATGGCTTAGGATATTGTGTGAATTCATTCAAAATTGACTGAACTTGACAACTAGAGTAGCAAAGAAGGATGAGGAAGCTCCTGTCCCAAGTAAGCCTTCAGAAGCAACTATTTGGTCCAGCTAGTCAACATTAATCAATCGCATTCTGCAACACCATCCAATTAAAATGAAAAATAAAAATAAAATTCTCAGTTTTTTCAAAATGCATGTGTGAATGGATGAACCATTCACTGTCAGGAAGTTTCTCCTTAGTTCTAGGTTGCCTCTCTCTTTGATTAATTTCCATCCGTTGCTTCTTGTCTTGCCCTCAGGTGAGCATGTAATGATTCTAGGCTTAGTCCTCTCTTGACTCCGCCTCCAGGGTCTGCCTCTTGTCCGACATCAACCAAGGAGTGCCTTGGGCACATGCAAGACTTCGGGTGCCCACTTTGTCCTTTCAATAGAAACAAACAAGGGCCCACATTTTTTTGTCCCTGTGTCTTTATGGGCCTGCAGAGGAATCTTCGGCACCATTTTCATATCTTGCTTGAAACATTTCCCACGGCGCCCTCAACTACCATTGCAAATGATCAGCAACAACAGAAACTGTAGCTCCAAATTCTTGAAAACTGGGTATAGGACACCAGCAGAATAACTAAATCTCACTGATATACAAGAGCAATTCCATTTCTTAGCCCATTCCATTCTGGAAGGCATATAATACATATTTTCAGGACGGGAAAATAGCCCCCGTCATTTCTTCAGAACTCATAGCTGCGCTGACAGAGATGGGAATGGAAAAAAGGGAAAAAAAACATACCTCGCTTTCTCAGAATGATGCTTGCCTGTTTCTTCCCATTTCTGTTTTCGACGTGGCATGTGTAATTGGCCAGGTCTGCTTCTTTCACAATGTCAAAGATTAAGGTTAACTCCACAATTTTTTCTCCAAGGTGCTCTTTCAGGAGCCTGAAAGAAAACAGAAAAACATTGGTGGATTTTTCAGCAGGCCAAAGATAGATGGGATTCCTCCACAAAGATTCAGTCATCTCCTGGGATCTGGTTCTAACAACCTTCCTCAACGTGATGCTGCAGGCTCCAGTAATGTATCTATAGACGTGGAACGCTGGTGCACCCCAAAGGAAACAGCCGTCTTGCATTCCCACTGCCCAAATTAGATGAGTGCTAAAGCTATGGCAAATCTAGACAGCATACTCAAAAGCAGAGATGTCACCCTGCCAACAAAAGTGCGTATAGTCAAGGCCATGGTTTTCCCAATTGCAATGGATGGCTGTGAAAGTTAGACCATAAGAAAGGCTGAGCGCCAAAGAATGGAGGCCTTTGAACTCTGGTGCTGGAGAAGACTCCTGCGAGTCCCCTGGACTGCAAGGCGATCAAACTTTGGTCTAAATGCTACACAAGTCCCTGAAAACTTCAAGTGAGGACAGAGGTTTGCAAGAGCGAGGTGACTCATCCCATTAATCATAAAAGGCTAGATTTCTCCCCAAATAATTAAACTCTGAAATAAAAAGCTTGTGTTGAGTTCATCAAAAATACAGAGACCAACAAAGATTTTTTTAAAAAAACAACAACAACAACCCTGAACTTTCTTTTTTGGAGAGTAAGTAAATATTTTCCTCTGTTAGTTAAATGAATATAATTTGGGAACACAAATAGGTTCTGCCTTTCTGCCTAGGTGGCTTTTTTTCCCCCTTCAAAAGCCACCAGAATTAACTGTTCAAAGCACGGTCGAAGCAAATCTGCTTCCAAACAAGGAAATAATTTGCAATTCAGAACGAACAGGCTTGCCCAGTCCAACTTTTGGAAAGAAAAGTTGCTTTTCTAAATTACGAAGGTGGGGAGTTCTGTACCTGATTTCACCTTCTTTAATGTGATTTTCCAGCTCTTCGATAAATTTCTCTCCTCGGGTCCAGTAGATCATCGGGCCTGACTCACCGCTGAAGCCGAAAAAAGCTTTACAAACAACGTTGAGGGGCTGACCTGGAAAGCAACACAGGAGAAAAATGACAGTGATGCTTTGTGGCAAGAGAGCACAGCAGCCGTCAGTTTGCTTCTTAAAATTTATAGTTTGGATGTATTTTTCACTCAGAGAGAGAGCCCCGGAGGACCGTCGCATCGGGAATAAACAGAGTGAGCTGTAGCAAGTGAATTCGTGATGTGGAAATAGTGGGACATGCTCCCCAGTTGAAAAGGTCTTGATCTCTTCATGTCAACTAGGCCAGCTTTGACAAATAAGAAATCTCCAAAGTTTTGGCTAGCAGTTTCTCCCAGCCCTGATCGGGGCGCTCTGTCAGTGCAAAAAATGAGTCGAGTCGAGAATAGAATAGAATAGAGTAGAGTAGAGTAGAGTAGAGTAGAGTAGAGTAGAGTAGAGTGGAGTGGAGTGGAGTGGAGTGGAGTGGAGAGGAGTGGAGTGGAGTGGAGTGGAGTGGAGTAGAGTAGAGTAGAGTAGAGTAGAGTAGAGTAGAGTAGAGAATAGAATAGAATAGAATAGAATGCAGAATAGAATAGAATAGAATAGAATAGAATAGAGTAGAGTAGAGTAGAGTAGAGTAGAGTAGAGTAGAATAGAGTAGAGAACAGAACAGAACAGAACAGAACAGAACAGAACAGAATAGAATAGAATATAATAGAATAGAATAGAATAGAATAGAATAGAATAGAATAGAATGGAGTGGAGTGGAGTGGAGTGGAGTAGGGTGGGGTGGGGTGGGGTGGGATGGAACAGAATAGATGCAATGGAGAATAGAATAGAATAGAATAGAATAGAATAGAATAGAATAGAATAGAATAGAAGCTGGAAGGGACCTTGGAGGTCTTCTAGTCCAGCCCCCTACTCGAGCAGGAGACCCTTTACTATCTCAGACAACCGGCTGTCCAGTCTCTTAATAAAAAACCTCCAGTTTTTTTAAATTTATTGCATTTAAGTTTAACTCTTAATTTGTAGCTATCGCATTTCCAACATTTACAGCCACCTTTTTGAGCACTATGCATAGCTGGAAAAACAAATAATAATATTAAGTGTTTTGGTTTATTTGTATAGATTTTTATAATATGTAGCAGAAGACAACAATCACAAAAAGAAGTACAATCTCCTGTATCATTCAGAGGCACATAAGTCAAATAAATAAGCTTCTTTTTTTTTTTGCTTCGTATCTTTAAGAACAGAGGTACATTTACCTAAAATGTCAAATATGTATGGCGTATTACCAAATCAAATTTGTTACTGGATAGAATTAGATCATTATTGAATGTAGAGTAATTTTATGAAGCTCATTTCATGAAGGTTAAACCGAGCATCTGAATTTTGATCGCCTGACCGTGGGGATGCTGCAAGAGTCCTAAGTCACTTCTTCCAGTGCCGTTGTAGCTTTGAACTGTTGTAAGTCGTGGACTTACATTTGATATTTCCAGAAAGATCTGCCTACAGTGTGACGCTTCTTTCGACCTGAATAGGAGACGGCACTTACCAAGGCGTGAGAAAGGGTTTTAAAAACTTGTTTAAAGAGTTTGAGTCAATCAGAACAAAACCGCATCTGCCCTATCCGTGGCCGGCCCTGCTGGGCTGCCGGTCTTGGCTGAACAGCTGGGGGCTGCGTGTTTTCTATTCAATGACCCAGCAAGATTTCTGTTTGAAACGACGTAAATAAATAACCGAGAGGAAATGAAAAATACTCCAGAGAGACATCTAATTTCTATCAATGCTAAGCAAATTTCCTGAAGAGATTCACGTGGTTAGAAGGAATAACAAACACACAGAGAGAGAGATGGAGATGTTGCGTGTATGTATATAAAAAAAAACAAAATGAAAAACTAAAGCACGGTAGGCACACTTCGGTCTGTACATTAAGAAAGCAAACTTGCACCATGCAGCTCAAACTTCTTTCCCTTAAACTGAATTTGAAACTGAATTTAAGGGGAAAATAGTTTCATCTTATCCATATTTATTTCCTACCTTCCTTCCTTCCTTCCCTCCTTCCTCCGTCCCTCCCTCCCTCCCTCCCTCCCCCTCCCTCTTCTCCTGTCTTAATTCTCCTTCCTTCCTTCCTTCCTTCCTTCCTTCCTTCCTTCCTTCCTTCCTTCCTTCCTTCCTTCCTTCCTTTCCTTCCTTCCTTCCTTCTTCCCTCCCTCCCTCCCTCCCTCCCTCCCTCTCTCCTGATCATTGTGTAAACCAAGGGTAGTCAACCTTGGCTCTTTTATGACTTGTGGACTTCAATTCCCAGAACCCCTCAAATAATGGAAGACTCCTATTATGTCCCCCAGTCCTTCTTTTCATTAGACTAGACCAGGGGCTGGCTCAGGAATTCTGGGAGTTGAAGTCCACGAGTCCTAAAAGAGCCAAGGTTGACTACCCCTGGTGTAAACCATCATTTTGGAGCTGAGATTGATGGGAGCTAAAGTCACTTCACTTCTTGGCCCAGGGCATATCTTTGGGACTTTGAAACCCTGGTGAAATGCCTAACATAATGGAACTATTTATCCATCCCCAGAAGGATAGCCATGGTAGGTGCGAGCATTTCAGACAGACAACGTGTGACTGCGGGGAAATTGCAATAATCATAAGTGCAAGGATCGGTCTTAAATCACCTTTTTTTTCCAGTGCTGTTTTAACTTTGAACGGTTGCTAAGAGAATGATTGTAAGCTGAGGACTACCCAAATAGATTCAATCCTGTTGAGCTTCTGAATCCAGGCAAGGCTGCCCCCTGCTGAAACTCGCACCGGTGGGATCAATCCAACAGAGAATTATGTGAAAAGGGAGAACCAGGAAACCCCAATGTTAATTTCTGCCTACAACTGTCCCGTCTTTTTCTGCCACGGCTGGGAATGTCCTTGTCACCCCTGTCATCCATTTGACTGCTTCAGATGGGTGGCATGGAATCACCTTCCCATCTGTTGAAGAATGCCTTGGGCTTCAGATGAGATGGACCAGACTTGGCGTTGGCCATTCACGCACGGAAAGAAGAGGACCTCCGAAAGAATTGTTTTACTTAGAATCCCACCATGATGAAGAAGAAGTCAAACATATACATAGCACACCACTGCATCCCATTAGGACAATTTGAAAACTGAACATGCCACCTCTCCTTAAGTTCTCCATCCAGGTTTCTGGAGTGTCAAACTGTCCAAGGCTTCCGATGCAGTTTAACTGCATTGTGTATTAGAGAAAAGCCCTCCAGCACTCTCGTTTTTAATTACTTTGCTTTCAATCTCTTCCGCCTCTCCTGGCTGATCTAATTAAGCATCAAAGGCCCATGGGATGTGGACGGCAACTCCATCACAGATCAGCCTCGCCTTTGGCCCTTACAAAGTTAGCCCAACAGCCTTTGAGAAGGACCAGAAAGAATGAACATTTTAAAGATATTCCCAGGAGTTGGAAGCAAAGCAGGGCTGAACTGAACATTGGGGTTCACCTTGGGACATGAAAGTTAATCTTTCTGTTGGTTGAAACTCCAGATGACTTCTTTAGCACAGACCTGCACCCTTTGCTTTCATTCTGTTGATCAGAGCTATTTATTGCACAACTGATAAAAATCACAAGTCGCCCACAAACTAGCTGGAACGACTATGTGGGCTTCAGAGGTGACTTGGAGCCAGTTTTGCAACGGTGCGGGTCAACGTGTCTTGCAAGACAAGTGGGAAAAGGATGCAATATTCAGAAGGTCTCCATTTCTCCCCTCCCAATTTAATAGCAAAAATCTAGATGGAGCATATTTCTCCTAGTTTCCATTGGCATCTTTGTAAAGGCCTGTGGGAAGTCAGCCCCCCACCAGAGAAGAAAATATTAAAAGGGCAGAAAAATATATTTCCTCAAAGGATCTTAAAGAGGCAGAAAAGCATGCCTAGTTTTCTTAATAGCCCCAAGTCTCCCTCCCCCAAGCAGAAACCAGCTCTGCAGAAATGCAGATGTAAATAATCCATTCAGGAAGGTTGGAGGCCCCCAGCTAGAAGTTTAGGAAGACAGACTCCTAAAATCTACATACCCCACCCAAACTCTAAGACAGGACATAATAGGATTAACCCACAAATGCCAAAGGGCAAATTCAGACTCAGGTCAAAGTTCATGCCACAGGAACAACTCCAAACAAAAGGCTTCAGAGGGTATAAAAACCCACTCCCTACATGTGCTCTCTCTCTCTTTTCTTCCAGAGCCATCTTCCTGTCTGGCTCTCCTCTTCAATAAACTGCAACCTTCTTTCTAAAGCAGTCGCCATGATGTTTATTCCCGGCTTGGACTGAGCCATGATGAAGACTTTTCCTTCAACAGGCCAAAGACTCTGTTTGAAATTATCTGTAGCTCGGTTATTGCTAAGGTTCAATAACAACAGAACTGAAGCAGCTTCTGGATGAGAAGCAAATCATTTTCAAAGGAGGGGAACCCAGCCCCCCTCAAAAAAGTCCAGTTGCATGCCTACGGGAGATTCTCAGTCATCCAGGTGATGGTTGTCCCAAAGGTGCTTTTTCAAGAAGCAACTGGAACTTTCTTTGTTTTTCCTTAAAGAACTGAAGAAGCTTCTTGGATAGGAAGTCTTCAAGGATAAACAAAGAAAGTTCCAGTTGCCTTTTGGAGAAAGCGCTTTTGGATCAACCACCACAAAATAAGTGTGCGTCCAGATGGACCATTCTTATAGATGTGACTATTTGTGGCCACCTCAATTACTTTGAACAAGAGTTATCGGTTAACGTTGAGCCCTCTGCAAGGGTTTATACCACGTGCATGAAAGTTAAAAATGGCACAGGGCATCAAAGCTGCTTACCGGATTCTAAAATAATTTTTGTGCTTTGGCACTGAAGTTAACCCGAAGCAGCTTATATTAAATTTTCATTTCTTTTCTTCTCTGCTGGCTGGCCATCAATGCTTTCATGCACACCAGGACAGGCAAGTGCTGTTCCTACCAATAACCTGAAGGTGTAGCTACCTGTGGTTTGGACCTGAAAGCATTGCTCAGCCTCGTGAATCTGAGAAAAGATGGTGTGCAGCTAATGGAAGTGTGGAGCAACAAAGAGAGTCAACGCATCCCTCAGGCTAGGTTAAATGTCTCACTGGCCGGATGACACCACAAGCGGCATATGCTTGCCTTAACTTGTCACCCTTCTCTCCAGTTAGGAGAAGTGCTTTGGTTTGAATGGGTGTGTCATTTCCCCCCCCCTCCTTGAGCTACATGTGCTTTGCAATGCCTGCGTTGCTACTTCTCTGGTGTTAGGAACTCTACGTGTTCTCCACCCAGATCTGGAGAACGTGACTATTTCATTAGGCTGAAGTATCGGGATCGTTCACCCTCTTATGAATTTTTGGATTCTGTGCTCAGGAATTCCTTTGGGGTACCTGTGAAAAGAGGAGAAAGTGACTCTGCGCAAGTTGTTGGCTGGCAACTCTGCCCCAGAGTTTTGGCTAGAAAGGAGAACTTCAAATTACAGTCATAAAATGCAAGCATGGGAACCCAAACAAATCAGAACCCTCGTCGCCAGATTGGAGCAAAAGTTGTTCTTTTAAGAAAAGGTTTGTAATTCAGAAGTCGTCAAGCCTCATTTGTCTCCATCCTGCAAAGTCATCCTATATCCAATCAATATAGGGTTGACTTCAGTGAATCCTTCAGTCAATTTGCTTGAAATGGTATAGGGTTTCCTGCCTGAGCAGGGGGTTGGACTAGAAGACCTCCAAGGTCCCTTCCAACTCTGTTATTCTATTCTGTTCTGTTCTGTTCCATTCCATTCCGTCCCGTCCCATATTTTCTATTCTATTCTATTCTATTCTATTCTATTCTATTCTATTCTATTCTATTCTATTCTATTCTAATTTCCTATTCTATTCTATTCTATTCTATTCTATTCTATTCTATTCTATTCTATTCTATTCTATTCTATTCTATTCTTCTCCCATCCCTTTCCTGTCCAATTTCCAGAACTAGAGCTAGTCTTCTTCTCATTGTTAGTTTTGCAGTGGCTTCTCATTGTGTGTTGCTGATGCTTCTACACCTTCTGCTAAACAAATCCTCTCCATATAGTATACGAAGCAGGGGCAGATACCTAACAGCAGAGGGTGCCCTTGCAATCTGAGAACGAACCTTTTGACTCCAAAGTCTCAAAGCAAAGCACCGAGCTCCTATGGATTGCGTCTCGACTCAGTGCCTTTCTAAAACCTCTTTTCTTCTCCATTGCAACTACATGGTGTGGGTGACAGGAAGGGTTAGAGGGCCTTGGTGGACATCCCGGATCTGTCTATGTAGATGGGTGACCACAATCTACATGTTGACCAGATTCCCATAATGCCTTAAGGAAACTGTCTGGCTTCCTTGTTTGAGACACTGGACCAAGTCAATCAAACCAAAGATGGCTTATTCAAGATTAGACCACCCGTGGGTTGGCATATCATGAGAACATTGCCATGGAACAGCAGTTGAAGTTGAGCTTGCAACTGGCTTCTGGTTCCCCTTGATAACATTCACACAGAAAGAATGACTGCAGATGGTTTATGTAATACCAGCTCAGGCGTAAACATCTGGACCCACATGTGCAGAGTTGAAGCTAACTACTTCACTTCATTCTGCCTATAATACAGGAATCTTCCCAGATCAGCAGTCTTCCCTTGGGAACAAACAGATAAGACTCCAAGGCACCTAGGGAGGGTCAGTCTTTTTGTCAGTTGCGTAGTGGCTCCAGGCTAACTCTATGTCCTCCTCCAAGCCAGACTGGACGCTTCCCAAAATATCCATTCTTGCAAGCAAAGTATCTATGCAATCGTGCCAGCAGCTTCCTGTGTTTTTTAATAGCTGCATTAAAAATCTGTTAAGTGGAGAGCACCTGTTAATCAAGCAAACATTTATTCCCCATTGATTAATCTACCCGAAGCATCAGCCAAATTTTGTAGCTCTGATTATTGCAGTCTTCAGGATAAGACACATGTCTGGGGTATAAAACGTCTCCCGTTCATGTGCAGGGCTGGGGAAAGTCTCCAATTCTGGAGAGGCGCCAGGAGAATTGGACGTAAATAACCCAGAGGAGATTCTATGAAAGCAAAAGGCAGAACAAAATAACATTGCGAGATTCTGAGCCTTCCAAGCTCCTATCTGAAGTTTTCACAATGCTGCCCTGGCAAAAAAACAAAACAAAAAACTGGCACGGTAGCATAGCAGATCCAGAATGGGATGGCCAAAAGAGGCCTCAACTAAAGTCAGACATATTTTATGGGTATCCTTCATGCACAAAGAAAACAACTGAAACAAGCATGCTAGTATTGTTATCACACTTAGTGTCAACACTGCTAACATCGGATGTTTTCCATTGACAACAGATGGAAATGTAGCCATCTTTTCTCTTTTAGAGTTAGATGATGCTGGGAGGGGGGATGTGGATGAGAGTCTAGCTAGACATAACAACACTAAACATAGTGTGAGAATCAAGGTTATTGTAACCAGAGCTGATAAGGAATTGGCGGGCTGGAGAACTGGAGAGGAAGCCCACGCTTCAAGCTAATTGGGGGATGTGATTTATGACTGTTAATTGGAGGAGGGAACTGTGCTTTGATACTAGGTGCCCAGGGGAGGGGAATTCAGTTTTGGGCTTTGATTATGCAGTGCCGATGTTATGCTACTCGAATAAAAGATTCTTTAAGGTAAACAATGCCTCGAAGTTATTTTGAAGCGTTTCATCTGTCGGAACCATGACACTTACGGTAGTTAACAACACTAAAATTGGAAGCAAGGGCAAACCGGCCTTTGAAAATGCAAGTCTACAAGAAGTGGGAATTTTTTTTTCTTTTTCTTTTTGCAAGGAGACCATGATAAAAGAATTCTGCTTGCTCTTAAAGGCAAGCCCTATTTTTTAACAAAACTGGGGAACCTTTTTTCTCCTGCCCGTGCAATGCAAAGGGATTGCAGCCCTTCTCTTGGGGGGAAGAAAGGATAGGGCCCTCTCCCCCCCCCCAGGTGTTTGCTTCAGATTCTGAGATTTGCTGCCTTCATTTCTTGATTTATTCCAGACCCCTAAAACATCCACATCTACTCCTCCCAGTTTGTTGGGAAGGACTTGAGAGGTGGACAAAAATGCCAAATCCAGCCTGAACATCTGGCTGACTGTGCAATCAATTGACACCATGGTCTAACTTTCCTCTGCTCCCAAAAAAAATTCCCTGCCCTGGAACATTCCGCTGAAAATATTGTATTTCCAAATGCAAATGAACGAAACAAAGGGGCTAGATTCACAACTGCCATGTGCTAATAAAGCCAGCTTAATATGAAAGGGACTTATCCCTCTGCCTTCCGGCCTTATTGAATCAGTTTAACTGCACTTCAGAATATTTCTACTCAACGGCTCTCATTTCTCCCTTAAGCTCAAGCACACACTATTGTTGCAAAGCAAGGCCACTAAAAATGAGTTTGCATTTCAAACATCACACGAGCCGGCGTACCCGCAAAGCGAGCTTTTGGCTGCTCGAATGACAAAAGGCGAAACTGTCAGGGTATAAAAGGGGATTAATTTGCAAAGCTGTACATTTGCTTGCGTACGATTATCATTCCCCACAAAGCCGTTATTTTTCTTTCTTTTTTTTTAAATGGTAAGAAAAGGACGTGTGCAGAAGCATTCGGCGAAGGAAAGGAAATGTGGGACAACTAGGATGAGGCTGTCCTCTTTTAACCTCTACCATTTGGTAACATAAGGCTGAAAGGGACTTTGTGCATTTGTGTTCCTTTTTGCTTAAAGCAGGGGGTGGAGAACTACGGCCCTTTTG